ATGCTATAACTGGATTGAATGGATCAGGTAAATCTAATATTTTAGATGCAATTCTTTTTTGTTTGGGATTGAGTAAAGAATACGATACAGTATTAATATTTTATAAGTTATTAGCTTCGTATTAAGAAATTACAAGAGTTGATATATAAAAATGGTGCTGCAGGTATTACTAAAGCAGAAGTAACAATTGTGTTTGATAATCGAAATAAAGAGTAGAGTCCTTTAGGATATTAGGATTGTGATAAATTAACAGTAACTAGATAAATTACAGCTGATAAATCAAAATATTTTATTAATGGCAAATCTGAAACTTAAAAGAACTTTAAAAATATGTTCAGATCAGTTCAATTGAATATAGATAATCCTCATTTTTTAGTGGCATAAGGTAGAATAACAAAGATTATTAATCTTAAACCATAAGAACTAATTAGTATGTTAGAAGAAACAGCAGGAACATCATTATATAATGAGAAAAAAAGAGAAGCTTAGAAATTAATACAAAAGAAAGAAGAGAAATTAAAATAAGTAAATGAAATTATAGAAGCTGAAATTTAACCTTAGATGTAAAAATTAACTGATGAAAAGAATATATTTTAATTATGGAGAGCATAAGAAGCATAAATCTTAGTTTTGAAAAAGGATCTCTTTAGTTATGATTACTATTAAAAAGCTAAGACTTTGAGATTGAAGAAAAATGATTTATAAATTGTTAATGAATAAATTACTAATCAAGAAGAGAAAATGAGATATGAAAATGCTGAAATATCTACTATCTAAGAAAAAATATAAAGTTTGTAAGAATAAAATAGAAATAATAAATATGAGTAAATTACAGAAAAATACAAGGAAAAATAAAAATTAGTTAATACATTAGAAAAATAAGTATAAAATACTAGAAGATAAAAAGAAACTATTGAAAGTGAGAAAATTAAATTAGAACATGCATTAAGAACATATTAAACAGATAAAGAAAGAACAGATTAGAAAATAGAAATAGCTGATAGATAATTAAAATAAGTATCAGATGAATTGAAAGAAAAGAAAGATTTATTAGATGAATAAATAGGATAATAAAATTAATCTGAAGATGGTAATATAGCATAAAATGGTAAATAGATGATTTAAAGATAAATTAATGATACCATATCTCATATAGATTCCAATAGAAAAGATTTAGAATAAGTAACTGAAAGATTATAAAGAATAGATAATCATATGTTAAGTTCAAAGACTATTTATGAATAAATGTAAAAAGAAGCAACTAATTTAGATACTAAAATTGATCTATTAAAAAAAAGAATAGAATAAAGTGAAATAGAAATTCAAAAGTCATCAACCTTAGAATAATAATTATTGGATTATAAATCAAATAGAGGAGATTTAGATTAATAATTATTAGAAATAAAGAAATAAATATCATAATCATAACCTTTTATATTTTAATTAAATTTATCAAGGATGAAAGATTGGGATTAAAATAGAGTATATGGTAAATTGTTTAGTTTGTTTGAAGTAAAGGATGAATAATATATGAAAGCATTGGAATTTGGTGCAGGAGCAAAATTGTAGAATATAGTTGTTGATGATTCTACAACATCTACATATTTATTAAAGAATAATGTATTACAAACTCATTCCTATATTATACCTAATAAAGAAATTTAATAGAGTGAAGCTAAAAAAGAATTTGTTTAGGCTGCAGCTTAGATTGCAAAAGAAAATGATGGGTTTGCTAAACCAGCCATAGATTTAATTTCATTTTCTGATAAAGTTATTAATTCTATGAAATTTGTGTTTGGTAATTTCATTATTGCTTCATCTATGGATATTGCAAGAAAGATTGCTTATCATCCTTCAAATGTTTAAAAATGTAAAGTTGTTACTAGAGATGGTGATATTGTTGATCCATCTGGTACTTTAACTGGTGGTTATACTAATGAGAAAGCATAATTATTACCTAAATTTAAATTATTTAATAGATGGAATCAAGAATATAAAGAAATTTAAGGATAAATTGATAAAATTGAATTATAAATTGAGAAGATTAAATAAGATATAGAATTCAAAGAATAATTAAATAGAGCAATTACATAAGATAAATATTAATTAGAATAATTAATGATCAAATAAAGAAAGAGTAATCAATTTAATTTCTAAACTGAATAGAATAAGTATTTAAATGAAATTCAAGATTTATAAATTGAATAAGATAGATTTAAAAAATAAATTAAAGAAGGTGAAGATAAATTAGTAGAATTAAAAAAAGAGTTATAATTAATATAATAAGGTAAAAATACAAAAGAATTAATATAAGCATAAATAGATAGAACTAAAAAAGAAATTAATAAATTAAAATAATAAATAGATTAATAAAAGAAAGAATTAATTGAAAATCAAGTAGAAAGTTAAAATTATGAATAAGAAATTAATAAATGTATTAAAAAAATAAAAGAAGAAACTAATAATTTAGATAAAACTACTATTGCATTAGACTAATTAATAAATGAATTAAATATAAATAAAGATTAGTACTTAAAAATAACAGAGGAAAAGAATTTGTATGAAAGTAAAAATGCAATTCATAATAATTAAATGACTAGATTGTTAGAATAATTATAAGAAAGATAAAAGTATTTGAATTCTACAGTTGAATAATTAAATGGACATTAAAATGAATTAAAAAAATTAGAAAGAGAATAACATGATCTTAAATAATAATTGAAATAATTAGAAGATCAATATGATTTTATTAGATAAGATAAAAATGAATTATCTTAAGATAGATTATCAGACAAATTTAGAGTATTAGAAACATTAGAATATGAAAAAACTAAATAATAATTTTAAAGATTGGAACATGATTAAGGTAAATTAGGAAAATAAGTTAATTTTAAAGTTGAAGCTATGACTGAATAAGTTGAAAAAGAATTTTAATCTTTAAAAGATAAAAAATTAATATTAGAAAATGATAAATCAATGCTTATATAAAATATGGGAGAATTAGATGATAAAAAGATTAAGACTATTGAAAAATGTTTTTTAGAAGTTAATAAAGATTTTTCATCTATATTTAGTTCATTATTACATAATGCTTAAGCTAAATTAGGTAGATTGGATGGATAATCAATAGAAGATGGAATAGAAATGAATGTATCATTTAGTCATCAATAGAAAAATTTATCAGAATTAAGTGGAGGTTAAAGATCTTTATTGGCATTATCATTTATACTTGCTCTATTAAAATATAAACCTGCTCCATTTTATATTTTAGATGAAGTTGATAGTGCATTAGATTTATCACATACAGAAAATATTGGTTAAATGTTATCATAAAATTTTAAATAATCTCAATTCTTACTGATTTCATTAAAAGAAGGAATGTATTAAAATGCAAATGTTTTGTATAAAGTTTAATTTGTAGATGGTGTTAGTAAAATTGATAGACATGAACTAAAAAAGAAGAAATAATAATAATTAAAATGATTGATATATATTATATATATATATATAAATTAAGATGAAAAATAAAGGAAGTTTTATAATAAATAAGAAATCTTCAATTAAGAGTAGTAAATTGTTTTTGTTTGAGAATCTTTTATTTGAAGATGTTCCTTTAGCTGCAAAATAAGCATATCTGGAATGTCTAGAAAAATAAATTAATGATTTAGATGTTATGAGAAAATAATTGAATGAAAATATATAAAAATAAGAAATGATTAAAAAGTAATAGTTACAATTCAGAAAAGAAATTGAGAATATTTAGAATGATCAAAAATTAGATCATAACATAATAAATTAATCTATGCTATTAAGTCAATTTATAACTGAATAATAAAAGATAGATACTTGTTTAATCGAATAAAGCTATCTAAAAGATTTAGAATACTTGCAAAATTAACAACTTAAAACATCAAATCAATTTGTCCCTTTTGAAAATGAATTTTTATGATTAATAAATTATATATTAATTATGTTTTGGTAATCGACTCCTGCCATTTACAATAATTAAAGAAAATTTTGAAAACAACTTCTATTTTTTATAGCAAGATGCCCATTATTATTCCATTATAAATTTTTATAAAGACAAGCAAAAATACAATCATTCCTATTAATGTTACTTTAATTTACTAGAAATATTAATATTTCTAAATGTGTAATAATTGTATATCTATTTATGCAGACATAAAACTTAATAAATAGTTGATATTCTAATATTAATCAAAAATAAACGGAATAATATCTTATTGGCCATAAAGAATGGAAATATCATCTAGATTACTCATATTTGAGTTGAAAAATATAGAAATCATATAATGAGAGAGAATTATTTAGAACTTATGAACATTATACTTTCTAAATGGTCATTTGATTTACTCTTATTTTTAATAGATGATTTATTCTTATATTTGAAAGCATTTGATCTTTCATAATACTTTTTGTGACTTTTCTTAATATAAGGTTGGTACAATCCTTTAATTTTTACTATACTATCTTTGATTTTCTTACAAATTTTGATTGATATATTATTATAAGGTAAAATCATCTAAATTATGACGAAAATTAAAGAATTAGAAATCTTAATTAAAACAGGGGTATTACTGAATAAAATTTTTCTTATTTTTGTTGATGGAATAAAAAAAGAGTATTTTATAAATAGCTTCTTTCATGATATGGCCATTTACTTGTACTCTCAATCAAGTGAAAGTCTAAATTATGAAACCTTAAATAAATCTATAATGTATGCATTCATATATAGAATAGATTTAAATTGGTAATAAATTGTAAATACTGATAATGATATTTAACTAAAGACTAAAATTTACATGGACTTGCAATTAGTAAAAGAGAAAATAGATCTATTAGATGGATATTGGATTAAAAAATACAATCTGCAAATACATTAAAATTTCAAATCAATGATATATATATTATGAATAATATAGTTTTATTCATAGAATACTTATCATATTTATTTTAATAATAAAATTAAATCATTGATAATGGACTCTAGGAGCACTGGTACAAAAAGACTTATCTCAGTCGGATCTCTGTCAAACTTTGAAAGAGCTGAATTTATCTCTTCTAAGACTGACACCAAATAAAGATTAGGAGAGCTCTTTATTTATGAACCTACTAAATTAGAGAGTATTTATGCATGATCATTATATATTTAGTGTTTGGATTGAGATAATAGATAGTTAGTACAAGAATTCCTAAGTTTGATCATCCAAAACCAATGTTTGAATTGGATTATTAACCATAAAAAACTTTAACACATGTTGCATCTCAAACTGAGTGTTAGAAATGCAATCATAGTTTAAGTAGAATTGTGTAACCAAAATAAAATATGGAATCATTACATTTATCTGCTCCTTCATTATAACCATATGAAAAATAAGAACCTAAAGTTATAGCTCCTAAATAATTATAAAGTCATATAGCAAGATAAAAAAAGAAGGATCTACCCCCTATTTTATAATATTCCTTTATCTAGCCACCACCTGTTTTTACATAATCTGCTAAAGCTGTAAGAGAATAGAAATCTTTTGGTAAATTATCTTAAGGCAGAATATCCAAGAAATTTGATAGTGAATTGGTTAAAGTCATTCAATAAGAACTCAGCAAGTAATTACATAAGATTGAAGATGAAATCTAAGAAAAAGGATATAGTGTTCCACTTAAATATGTATAAATAGATTTATACATTTCTTATAGTAAAATCTAAAAAGAACTAAATAAATGACTCTAAGTAAAAAAATCAAATTAGAAAAATAATCTCAAATCTTAAATGAAAAGAAGACTGAATCCTAATTCTTTATGTAAAAAGAAAAAGAAAAAGAAATCCGATCAATAATATTTTTCAAATAACCTGAAAAAAGTCAATCTCAAATTCGCCTCTAAAAAGAAGATAATAGCAACATAATATTTGGTTATTCAAATAGATAAGACGTATAAGCATGATTCAAATTTACTCGAAGTTTATCACATCTAAATTATAAATAATTTAATCTTATCAATATAAATTTTCATTTATAAAATAATAATATAATTTTATGTTATCATGCAATTAGACATATATCTCTTGCATATTAAATTCTATTTAAGTCTTTTAAAAATTTTATAGAATAAATTATAATAAAAATCAATATTATATATATAATTATAAACTTAATCATTTCTAGATTAGGAATTATAATGTTCCTTAAAGAATCTTTATACTAAGAATTTATCGAAGAGGGAGATAATTTTATAAATATTAAAATGTATATAATTATAATATTAATAAATATATTAAAAAATCAATAGAGATTGTACATATGGCTGATTCTTCAATTAATCAAGAAGTACAAGTAAATAGATAAGTAGAAACCATTAAGAATTTAGATAACAATTACCTAATATTTCTATTGCTATGATCTAATTTCAATAATAAGATGATATTTAAAAAAATGAAATATAGAATTAATAAATCATTAATTCAAATCCAAATGAAGATTTATAAGAAAAAAATTAAAAATAACAAGAATAAAATTAAAAGTTGTATCAATAATTAAGTTAGACTGAAAATAAATTAAATTTGATTAATCAACGTGTTGATGAATTAAATCAAGAGAAAAACTAAAATAATACTATGATTACTGATCTTAAAAGTTAGCTGATTAATAAAGAGATTTTATTAATTAAATTAATAATGATTAGGCTTATTTGGATTTGACTGAATCATTAGAAATCACATTGTAAAGATTAAAAGAAATGGAAAAGAAAAATGAAAATTATTGGATGAAAATCTCTATTATAAAAAAAAAATATGAAGAAAGCCTTATTTATATAAAAAGTACTAAAGAAGAAACTTTGAATCAATAAGACAGAATAGATTAAATTAGTCAAAATTATTAACAATCATCAGAAGATTAATTCTAAGAAATTCAAGGTTTAGAAAATGAAATTAGATTATTGTAACAGTAAATCTCTAATAAATGATTCATTTTTGTAATTTAACAAACAAGTTTTATTTAAAGCACTTAATTATAAGCAGAATATTAATTTATATATTTCTAAAAAATGAATTGTTAATTCTTTGAGATTGAAAATAAAGGGAATATATTAAATATTCATTAATATTTCTTATTTTTTGAAATTCCATAGTTTCTTTCTAAGTAGTCTATAGTAGGAGTTGTAAGAAGAGCTTAACAGAAATAAGCTATTATTCTTGCTTACCATCCTGCATATAGTCCTGATATACCATAATTTTTGTATACAATCTTAAATCCTTCATAAAGAGAGAGATTTTTAAAATTTTAATTTCCCTCCATCTGAACTAGTGTTTTGATTGTATCAAAAGGATGAACTAACAATATTGATAATTATATACCAGCCATGATATTTAGAATACTACTAAGAGAAGCAGCAATTAAAGAATTAACTAAAGAAAGTGGTTAACCAGGTTCTGCTTTTAATGCATAACGAACTTTGTGATCCCAATATAAATAATTAGTCCATGATACTACTTGTCTTGTTGTTTGAATTCTGAAACCAACATATATTGATTCAAATGTTATGTATTTGTAATAACCAAAGCCAGTAGACATTGATGTCATTTTTAATGTTTTAAGTCTTTCAAAAGGAGTGATTATACAACTTTCAAATAACCCAATAGAAGCTCCTGTTATAATTTTATTAATGGATTAATTATGGATGTGTTCATTCAGTATTGAAGGTATAAAAATGATCATAGGCCATCTATAGTACTATTTGACCATGTTCCTCAAAAAACTTGGAGAAAATCCATCATACAAGCCTATCATTCCTCTAGCTCCTTTGATATCAGTGTAACTCTACAATTCAGTATAAAATTTACTTGAATATAAGTGATACTCTGTTTTGACTATTTGTATGTCTTAATTCTATCAAGTACATGTTCTAAAGGCATAGTCAATGCAACACGAAAGGCTCCAATTACTTAAGTTTCAAAGAGTGCTTTAACGTAGTCCCCCATTAGTTGTTATTTAATATTCTTTTTAAAAAAAAATTAATAATAAATTGCATTAATTTAGCCTTAAAATAAATTGAATAATAGCAAACTATTATATTAATAAAGTTAATCATTGCATATTATGAAAAAAACAGAACCTATTTTCTATTGAAATAACAATAATAGGATAGAATATAAATGAATTATATAAATTCTAATAAAAATTTTAAAAACAATCTAAGAAAATCATGAATTAAAGAAAACAATTAACAATTTTAATCAATAATCTTTAGAATTTTTTTAAAATGACTAAGTCTTAGAGTTATTTTATTTTGGAGGCACCTTAGGTAATTGAACGCAATTACTTTTAGTTTAAGGTTTAGAAAATAAAATTTATTATTTTTTTAGAGTTGGAGTTTATGAAGATACTTTATTTGTTGGAGTATGAAGTCTAGCTGTAGGATTATTTTTGGTAGGAGTTTTGAGTCTTATTTAATGTTTAGTTTAAAAGTTTTCCATATTTTCTTTTAAACTATTAGCATGATCTTATTTAATAATTGTTTCAGGATGATGAAAATGAATTTATTAAAGTTTTTGATTAATTTCTTTTGCCAACTAATTAATTAATATATATTAATATTTACTTATTAAACAATAATTTTCTTATCTGTTAGAAATTATTGAAATATTTATTATAATTTAATTACTAAATCCTTTTCATCATTCCAAAATAACAATCTCATTTCATAAATTAATTATACAAATTTTAATCTCACAATATAAACTGGATCATTTTATAATTACAATACTTATATTAAGTTGCATTATTTAAAAAAGTTTCTGCTTCTCTTTCTACAAATTTATATACAAAACTCAATTAATAATACTCTATATGTATAATTAGTGTGATTAAGATATTATAGATATTATGGAACAACTTTATCATAATTTTCTGTTATTTAATCTATCAAATAAGTAGATATTTTTTTCCTTATATGTTAAGACCCCATTTATAAATAAGTGAAACATAAAGAATTGAATTCAGATTTAAGGTTTAAGTTATTAGCTAGACATTCTAAAATATTTAGAGTCTCTTCAACTTCATACCAAAGACCTTTTTATTCATAATGAAAAATAGACTTTTTTAAAAAGTCAAAGGTTTTTTGCAATTGAACATTTAATTGTCTATTTTTTATTCTATTTCCTTTGTTTATGATATCAAGTAGATAAGGAATGAAAAAAATTTAATTCAATTCAAAATTGCCAAATACAAGACCTAAAAGTTATTGATGTGTTTATTCATTGACTTGTGTGTATAAATCTGAAAGATGTTTAAGAAAACTAAATTCTTTACTGGAATCAATTAAATTAGATACCTAATTTATTAGAAAATCATCATATTGTTATCTTATCTTAGAATCAAATTAATAGATATATTGATAATACTCCTTAACTAATTCAATTTGAATAGGTTAGGGTCTTATGTAATCCATAAATGCTTATTAAATAGATTCTGTTTTAATTGTTGAAATACATTAAGTTAACAAAATTATAATTTTGGAATCATCATCTATATATTTTATGATATCTTGAAGAGTATCTTAAAATTTGTAATGATTATCATAACCTTATTCTTCCATTTTCATCCAAGAAGTTAGAAATAATTTACATCCATTTAATCTAACTTATTTATCAAAGTCAGAAATTAATGATATTGTATTTTTTAACCAATCTTAATCTCTAATTAATATCATCAATAATTTATCATGTTTGAGTATTACTTGATCTATTATTCTGCACATACGTTCATTTTTTCTACTGATGCATTATTTTACATGCTTTAATGATTATGTTTGTTAAGCGTTAGTCATAAAAGAGTAGAGCATTTAAATAATTTTCAATCCTTCATACCTTACACTATCCTCATTTAAAATAAGTAGATAGGGTTCGAAATCAAATTCCATAAATTTAGATAAAGTTTGCATTAACTCGCATACTTAATCACAAAATGGAGTATTATAATAATTAAAACATAACTCCTAGAGCTATTTCAAAAATTATTCTTTGATTTTGCTTAATATATTTTCCTATAATAAATTCTCATAAGTACTTTGAGTAATGTAATGATAATACTTAATGCTTTGATTAATTCCTTAACTACTTATGACTCTTCACTCTTAACTTTATTCTAAAATTAATAAGAATAGAGATTTACAATCATTAATGCAATAAGTTCTGGAATATAAAAATCAATTTCAGTAGCTTAATGAATATTTTGACAAACAAAAAGCTTTTAAAATGTTTATCCATTATTCAATAAGTAGATTGCCTTGTCTATAAAATTATTATATTCAGGAGTGCATAGTTTTTCAATTTCTTCATTACTTTTGACTTAAATACAGAGTGAAATGTACTTGAATTAGTGCATCTCTCATTAATAGAATCCATTAATTAATTAATTAATTATAACGAATACAAGAAGTATGACTCTTTTTTCTGAGTTTTTGATTATTTGATATTAGACACAAGAATATAAAGAGACTGAAATCATAGAATACTTTAATATTAATGGATCATCTCTTCCAGATTATCTTAGAAATGTGAGCATTGTAAATTTTGGTTTGAAGGGCATAATAGATGTGCTTTACTAGTGTATTTAATGTTAAGTTGGAACAAGAATAATAAAAGAAATTAGATGACATTAATATCAAGAATTATTTGCATTAATTTGTAATAACAGATTAAAGTGGATAATTAAGATACTGCACTTCATTTGTAGTATTTGAGAGTTTAAAAAACGAATTTTATTAACCTTATTCTTATATAATAGTTTCTGAACAATCTAATTTGATTAGATAGAAATCTTATATGAGAGCATTATACAATGCCATTTTTGACAGAGTGACAGTATTTATTATTATTATATTATTTTTATAGAGATATAGACATCGTGGATGGTAAATGGGATCATAGACATTATCTAATCAATAATTATTTGAATTCTATTTATCTGTCGGTATAACAAATTTAAATGGATTATATTTTGTACCTAAACAAATTATGAAAAGTAGATAAGAAGTACTAAGATTAATTTATTTTATATTTACTGTAACAGATCTAATTATTAACAATCCAAATCATAAAAATAATCTATACAATAAAGATATATGTTTTAATGTGTTATTTTCAAAATTATAAATCAAAAACATAATTAAAGTTGTGTAATCAATAATACTTGAACAATAAATTATTTTATTTACTACTTAAGTTTGGGAATTAGCAACTATTACTGAAGCATTTCTATAATTTATTTATCCTCTCTAATGGAGATGCATTTATATACCATATCTACCAGCAGAAATACTTGATACTCTTTATATTTCTGTGCCTTATATTATTGAAGTGCATTTAAATCTTAAGGAAAGAGTGTTAACATAATATGATTGTCTTGATAAGATTCTAGTTGATTTAGATTAAGATAGAGTTATTGGATTTAATTTAGTATTTATAGATATTATATTATTATTAGATACTACCATTTCCAAAACAACTTGTAGAAATCTTAACTAATTAGAGTTCAAAATTTTAATATTCTGATGATGTAATGTAAAAGTTTGTTAGTAGTCTGAAATGTTATAAGTTTAATGTTTTTTCCTTAAATTCCAATTGTAACTTATAAATAACATTGTGCCATACTTTATATACTCTGACATTCTCTAATAGAAAGCTAAAATTGAAGATATTTTTGATAAAGATCTTTATATAGAATAATTTACTCCTTTGGATTAAGAATTTTATAGGGAATTGGTGAATAAAACTATGGTATTATTAGTAATATTAAGTTTGTAGATGTTCCCACGTTTTATTGAAGAATCATATAACTATTTACATTAAAAGTAATTCTTGAAACAAAACATAGATGCAAATATTTTTATTGACTTACTCTTATTGATAAATACTTCAGGCTATTTCAATATTTATAAATTACAAAATAAAGATTTTGAAGCTAGATTATTTAATCTAATAAATGAATCTAAATGTATAATTCAAGAATCAGAAAAATCTATTCATTCACTCTTCTCTCAATATCAAATACAAACTAATGAATATCTTGTTCCATTTAAATAATTCCCTATTCTTTAAATTGATAAATCTAAAATTATATAAATTGATGTTATTCAAAATAGTATTCATCAAAACTCATTCATGTAAAAAAGTACTTAATCCTAATGAAAATAAATAAGCTATTAATATACTTACTATTAAACCACAATAAATTTATCCAATTTCTAAATCACTCATATAAAATGATATTACTACTTAAATTATTTTGAAATATCTAAATTTTGAATGTTAAATAGAGCAAACGTATATTTAATACTGAAGATATGAGTTATGTAAGTATGTATAGAACTAAAATTTACAATATGTACTGAAATATTTACTATTTTATATATTATTAATATTATTATTAATCACATTTATGGATTGGCTGGGAATTCAACAATAGGAATAGAATCATGAAGTGAGTCAGTCGAATTTTAAATAGAATTTGGAATCATTGGAGCAGTAGTAGAATCACTTTAAGTAAGACTGTTGCTATGTGACACTGCTGCTTATTTTAAATCAAAACAACTAAGTATTATTTATATCATAAGTTACCAATTTTATAAAGTCTTTATTTGAATTTACTTATTAAGATGTTTAGTTTTCAATTACTCATGTTCATACTTATTAAACAATTTCAATTATTTCATCATTTTCTTAAACCATTTACACAAATACACTTATTTACAACTAGGTCTTTATTAAAAAGGTTTAGTTAACATTGCATACAATAATATCTACAAATCTTCATTCAATCTTTCATTCACTTAAACTTCTTATTATGGTTTATGTTAATGTAATAATTCCTATTTACTATTATTCTTTTCTTACATAAATCACTACACCCAATGACCATATATCTACTTTATGATCATAATCTAAATTCTACAATATTTCTGGAGCAGCATAATCAATTGAGCCCTACTTTTCTGAAATATAAAGCTTATCAAAATTCAGTTATATCGCATTACCAAAATCGCAAATTTTATATACACCATTATCAATTAAGATATTATCAGGCTTTTTTATCTTTATATATATATATACTTATATGTCTCTATGAATGATATTATTATTGTGAAGGTAATCTATTCCATCCAGTATTTGATGAAAACAATCGAAGATATTATTCTCTAAAAACAATGCTTTCTGTGAACTCAAAGTCCCTTAGTTACAATACTCTAACACCAAATAAAGAAAGTTGTCATCTTCAAAGGTCTCATACAATTTAACGACATTCTTGTGATTTAAATTCATATGAATTAGAATCTCCCTCTTCATGCTCAATGCAAATTATGGCTCTTCCAATAGTTCTTTCAAGATCTACACCTAAATGTTGCTAATACAATCTTCATAGCACACAATTGATTTTTCATAATGTCTTTTACTAACACGACCTAACTCATTTATCCCTATCCCAATTGTTATATGTACTAGTATCGTGTTGTGTTCGAGACATAGTTTTACAACATTTAAATATTATTATATAAAACTTCACATCTTCAATTTACATTCAATAAAAATTTAACGCAACTCTTCTTCACCAATACCTTAATTTAATATTTTATTCTCATCCTAATATAGACTATCATTATAAATGTTCAACATTTCCTACCTATTACCATATTCAATACCAATATCAATTCCTCTTCAATTGGTTTCTTCATTACACTCTAAGCAGCCTTTGCTATATCAATTACCCCTATTAATTCAGACTCTTATCTTGATTTCAAGAAATTCCAAATATATTTGAAATTGGCTTCTTATATTGAATTCAAATCTTTAACATTATTCTTTTTCTTTTTTACATTTTTCACTTAACTCTAAACAATCTATGGTTATGTTTAAATTATAGGAGTTTGCTACGGAATTCTCTCCTTTTTCTAACTTGAGCTTTTTTTGGTGAAGGTAAATGAATGTAATTCATTTTCTAAGAATTCCTCATTCTAGTTCATTTATTTAAATTCAATTAAATTATTATTTGAGCACACTTTTCTTAATACTAAACTAAACCAAAATCCAATAATACTTTTGATTTATTACTAAAACTTAATAATTTATATTTATAAACAAAAATATCCAAACTAATTCAAACTTAAAATCAAAAAAACCATTATTATCATTTCACCTCTTCAAAATTAATACATAGTTTAAGTAATTCTAAACTTATTTTATTATTTCAATTTGAATTATTATTAGATTAACCTTAATTTATTAATTTTAGATTATTTAGCTAATCTTTAAATAATTATACTAAATTATATCAATATTGAAAATTTCCTTTTAGGTTTTCTCTTTTTAGTTTTAAATAAACTAAAAAATAAAGTTATTAAGTAGGCTAAATTATTAATTAAATCTGCCTTAATTAATTTTACTTAATACAACACAAATACCTTAAAAAGATGGATCATTTACTATTTATCTTGATTGTTTTTTTAATTCAATTTTTAAGAACAAACTTATTGTTTTAAAAAGATTACTATAAATAAAAATAATTTAAAAAATTATCCAAATAAAACTTCTTATACAATAGTAGAAAACTAAGAAGGATAAACTCAAAGTTTAATGTACAAAATTTATTATTATAAGTATTAAAAGTCTATATTTTTTCATTGCTCTCTTCTATTAATTTAAAAAGATACAAAAAGAAATATAAAGAATGAAATTTAATGATTTTTTGAGAATTTAATTTAGATTTCTACAGCTTTGTTGTATTTTTTTACAATTTATATGATTAATATATTTTATTATGTTTGGAGAACAGTAGCTATTAAGCCCTGTCAAGAGATAATTATTAATGCAACGAATTATAAACAATATGAATGAGATCTCAAAGCCAGTGTCTACTTCACCTGTCAAAAGGAGAATACGCATTTAATCAAATCGTATTGATTATAGGAAGAATTTGAGTATGGTGGAAAATGATTCCAATAGGCATATTACTGAGCCTAATAACACAGAAATAAAGAAATTATTTCACATAAAAGCCAATCGTAAGATGTCTTAAGATCAGATGCATCCTAAATCTCCCCCAATGTTGCCATCACTATTTGAAATCACCTTTTAAAATCCCTTTTTTGGCCAATTTTCCTAAAGAAAAGCATAATATTAAAGACCTACAGAATTTTAAGCCATAGTATACAAAAGAAAATCATGACTAATTTAATTAATTATTATCAACACGATCCACTCTCTTTTTCCCATTTTAAATATCTATTCTCTATGGTGAAGGTTTTACCTAGTTCATTGTCTGCCTTTTCAAGATCTATTTAAGTAACTGGCCCTGGTCTTACATCATCATAAAATATCTAATTCTATTATTTTTTCTATTTCACTGTTCTACAGTTTATGGTATATATATCTAACTAATTATAATAAGTTATATTCTTTTTCTAATGCCTTAACATAGCAATAATTAAGTATTCATTCTTTTCCATTCTGTTTGTATACAAGTAAATCCACTTTAACCCATAATTAAATCCATTTGATCTATAAATATTGTGCTGGGTTCATAGTGTCTTGCTAAATCAATAATAACACAAATCATTTTTCACTTTCTCATTTCCGTTTAGTAAAAACTAAAGAGGCATAAACATTAATAAATATTATTTAACATAAAGTAACCACTGCTTTTGTTAACGTTAATTACCAGTTTAGGTGGTTCAAATAAAAGAACATCCTATAATTGTTCAAAAATTCCTTAAAAAAAAGTGGATACCTTTTGGTTGTCTTTTGGCTTAATACATATCAACTATATTAGAAAATTAAAAATTTAGTTTTTTCAAAACAAATATCTCTTTGAAAACAAGCTGCCAATTATAAAAATTCAGGAACATTAGAATAATTAGGTCTAACTTATCTAAATTTAAGTTCCATTTTTAGTATCTATATAAGTCTCATCAAGTTTAATTGATTAAAATTCCTTTTAAAAATATTTTTATTTGATTTTGCTTTGTCTTTCTTCTTATTCAATTCTTTTTATAATTTTTATCAATCTTCAAACTAATTTAACTAAAATTTTTGTTTCTATAATCCTATTTGCTATTTTAATATTATTTGAGTCGAATTTATAATTTTTTGATTCTTCTAGAGTTTACTTTGTTTATTCACTTAAACACTTTGATTTTTTCAATTTTTCAACTAATTATCAATATTATTTTATTATCTTCTTTTTACTACGTTAACTTCTTATTATTTAAAAATTAAACTCTGGTTTAATTTATTGAAATCTTTCATGACAATCATCCTATTAAAGTTTTTCATTTTTCTTCACCATAATTAAATTAATTCATTAAAATGCCAATAACTAAGAGAAAGAGGAATTAAGTGTTAACTAAAACTAAAAAGAAAACTCCTGAAAAGAAAGAATTACTTGTTAAGAAACTTAAATAATCCCTTAAAAAATATTAAAGAGCAATAATATTTCAATACAAAAATCTTTCCACTAATCCATTAAAAGAGATTCAATAAGCATGGAAGGCTGATTCAAAACTCTTTATTGGCAAAAACAAAGTTATGCAAGTTGGCTTGGGTAGAAATGAAGAACAAAGTGCTACAAAAAATTCATACCTTCTCTCTCCAGTAATTAAAATTTTATATTTGCAGTTTCTTAAAGGCGAAACAGGACTACTTTTAACTAATAAGACTCTTCAAGAAATCTAAGAGTACTGTGATACATATAAAATTCCTGAGTTTGCTAGAGCTGGTCACATTGCTAATCAAACAATTGTATTAAAAGAGGGTATAGATACTTTAAAAGGATTTGGACACTCCTTAGAACCATATTTGAGAAAATTAGGACTCAATACTCAATTAATAAATCAGCAAATAGTATTAAATGAAAAATATGTTCTTGCTTAAGAGGGTAAACCCTTAACAGTAGAATAAACTAAATTGTTGGTATTTAGATTTCATAAAATTTAGCGATTAATGGATTAAAAATTAGCCTATCTTGAAATCACTCCCCTTTGTGTTTTAGAAAAGAATGGAACATTCAAAAAATTGTGAATATTATTCAATATAATTCTTCACGAATAATTGGTAATTCTATTTCCAATACTGATTTGTCTGATACAAATTTTGCCTTTCCCATTTTCTCATTTACTGGATATGGTAGGATAAAATCCAAATAATATTAAGTACTTGACATTATGATCTGTTACTTCATTACTTCTAAATTTATTTCTGATAATTTAGTATCAGGTAATTTAATCTTTACTAATAATCCTTAACACTTAGTTGAACTTGGATCAATTCCACTCCATCCTCCAAAAACATCTTCAGTTCCAACTATTTGCTTATACAATACATCGACATCTGGTCTTTATCTATTATCCAATTTAGGTCTATTTTGTACTTAAATCTAAGTAATCATAATCTATATACTTCTTCAATATCCCATATATCATTTTTATCCGCAACTTTTTTTTTTGGTTTATCCTATTGCTATTCCACTTTTTACTCTTGATCTTTTTGACCAAGCTTTACTTATATTTAAGCATAAGGTTTAGCGACTTCTTTTTTTTAACCATTAGATCCAATATCACTAGGAGCAAAAATACTTCCCTTATTTGGATTATTATTTATATTTGAAAAAGAGCTTTCTTCCTCTTCTGTCTATATTAATTATGCTAATGCTTAAATATCAGAAATATTCATAAATTAATTATCAATATTTATTAGAGTATTTTAATATAGCAATTTTATTTGAAGTTATGAATAACTTTCAATATATAATTTACTTAAATCATATAATATAGTTTAAATATAAACCTAAATTCAAATATGACTAATCAAATATTCTTGTCTTTTTTGAAATTTATTTAGCAATAAAATTTCTAGTAAAATTATTATTTAACTAATTTCTATTTACTCAATTTATTGTATTATTAACAATATGATTTCAAAAGGAAATATTTATCAAGTTAATTTAGACTTTTCTTGAGAAATAATAATTAAAAAAACAAATAGAGAATGAAAATTAAAAGAACAAATGCAAATAATTTTGCCTTAACTAAAGATTTAGTAAGCCAAAAAGACTTAATCAGTTTAAGCCTTAAAGGCTAAAATGATTAAAATATATATATAAAATTGAGAAAAGAAAAAAATATATCATCAGAGAGGAAAAGCAAAAGTCTTATAAAGATAAAACAATATAGGATAAAAAAATGTATATTTAAGAATAATTCTATTACAGACAATGGAAATTATTGATAAATGAAGATATAGTGTAAGAATTTGTTGTTAAATTTTAAATGATAAATTAATTTGATAAATGTTTGAATTAAAATAATGGAAATTTTATTTTTTTAGATTTTAATAATTTGAACTTATCTTTATTAAGATTTTTCTTTAATTGAAAAATAAGAGGCTCTAGTTAATAAAAACTAATATAAAATTTATATTAATTTATATTTAAATGAACAAATGAGCATTTTCAATATAGTTGAAAATAATTACAAAAAAGTTTGCTTTATTATCATAATTTTATGATATTTAACATTAAGAATAAGATAATAAATTTAGACATTAATAATTTTGTATAATACTAATCAATATCTAATTGCATTGATTCAAAATCTTTTTTTTAAGACTTTTCTGATTAGTTCTCTTGCCATCTCTTATTAAATACCAATATCTAATTAATTTGTAAATCCAATGCAAGAAACATTAACTTCACTAATCCAATATTTATCTTTTCCATTTTCATCAGTATCAAGAATAAAATCACAAGTCCAATCTAAAATAGTTTCAACATCTCCAAGATTATCAGTTAAATGTTAAAGACAAGAAGAAAAGAATTTAATTAATTCTGGCCAAGCTTCAGGAGATTCATACTTATAAGTAGCTCCAGAGAAAAGCGTTGCTGAAAAAGCATCTTATTTATCAGCTGGTTTCTTATGAATAACAAACAATGGTTTTGTACCCATTAAAAAGATTCTGACTTCACCTTCTTTGATTCTTGGTAAGAATCTCATATCAATAAGGAAATTTTCTTCTACTTTGTAATATTTTTCACATAATTTGAAAAACTTTCAAGTGTATGATGTTCAACATGATTATCTACTGCTTCATTACATTTGATCTTAGTATCTAATGCTAATGCTTATCCCTTAACAACTTAAACTCCTTCAGCAACTTAAATTCTCCAAATTCCTTCTCCTGTAGATCCTCTATTTTATTTAAGAACTCTTTTTCCATTTGTCAAAGAAGTTGGGAAATTCTTAACTAACTCATCCCATTTAAAATAAGCTACTGTGTCAGCTAGAGAAAGTGGAGTTTTATTTAAGTCTACAAGACTCAATTTAGAATCATATTTCATAAGAGTGTCTGGATGTGGTGTACCAACTACTCCAGCAGCACACATTTCTCTTAAAGCTTGATTAAAGACAGCTTCACCATTAGGAAGATTTCCTGTATTGATTCTTGGAATGTAAGCATCACAATTCTCAATCACATATTTTGTAATTGCTTCTTTCCATTCATCTCTAAAAAAGATGACTTCAGCAGTCCATCCCAATTCCTTAAAGGCTTAAATAATTGGCATTGTGTCCTTTCTATGTCGATTCCAAGTTTTATCTGAACCTCCTTCAGCTTCAAAGATTGCTACTCTCTTATGAATTTTATTCTAAGCCATAATTGATATAAGATATTTTATATATATCTTGATTTCATAATTATCAGGAAGATTTAAAATCTTTATTAGACTAAAATTAGATTGTATATATATTATATAATTTAAATATCTTTAATTCATTTAACAATAATAATATCTTCCTTATAAATATTTATTAATATATTGCTGTATTATTTATGTCTATTAATTTTTATTGACTAAAATAAATAATAAACACAAGATTTCCCACATTTAAAAGGTTAACATTTTATGATATATTTCATTATTAAATGATTTTCTGCTTCGTTGGTCTCTCTAAGAAACTTTAATTTTGGTTGCTATCAATATAAACTAAAATCTTTGTAGAAAAATCGTTTGCTTTTATTTGTTTTAACAAGGAATGTGAAAGATCTTCATCATTTTGTATGTATTTAATATAAATATATAAGTGAATTAATATTCTTCAGATTCATTCTGCCAATTCAACTTGGTTAACATCAAGTATCTCATCTATTAATTCTTCAGAGTATTTATGTTTCATATCTTTTTATTCATTTTTTGAGCTAGACTCTATAAGGGATTAACACTACATATCTATATAGGTTTTACTTTTTTTATTTGGGGTGGCTTTCTTTAAGATGCTTCATTAATAATTGCAATCTATTGATCAGGAATATCGTTAAAGAACGTTTTTATTTTTTATAGAATAGATTTTTTCTTTTTAAGTGGGGTACTTTGGATGCTGCTCATATTTAAGTTTTTGTATTATTATTAATAATAACCATCAATAATTAATGGAAGATTAAAAATATTGAAAAATGACGCATTTATTTTTGTAAATGAAAATAATTCATGGTATGATTAATTTAGAATTAAGTTTAATAAAATTTTTTATTTCATATTTTTTATATGGAAGGATATTATGAAAACCCAGGAATTTTTATAAACTAATTGTTACAATAAGAGGATTAGAGTGATTTTGAAGAGGAATTTTTTTGGCTTTAAAATGCTTTAAAAAACCTCAATTAATAAGTATTTCCATTTTAATTTTTAGTTGCGCGGTACAAATGTTACAGGACCTGAATTTATTGGTGCACATCCTAAATCATTATCAAAGGCAAAATTAGCTTAAATTAAGAGAGAGCTTACTGATTGGTTGGTCTGTGAAAAAACAGATGGTGTTAGATATTTGTTAATTATTTTAAACAATGGACATTGTTATTTTACAGGTAGAAATTTAGGAGGTTAAAATGTTTCAAATAGTCCATATCAATTACATCTTGTGAAAATTAGAGTTCCTTCATAATTAATAAATCCATAGGAATTGAAAATAATTGAAATGTTTGATGGAGAGCTTATAGTTGAAAATTATCCTAATAATACTTAGGCATTAAACTATTTAATATTTGATACGCTAATTCATAATACAAATTATACATCAAAATTTTAATATTTTGATAGATTGAGGTGTGCATAAGAATATTTAGAATTAAGGAAAAATCTAAAAAAGATAGGTCCATTATAAAACATAGATTTTTAACCTTTAAAGCATTTTCCAAAAATTAGATGCATTTTGAAAGATTTTTTTTATCCAGATAGAGCCAGGTATATTTGTTATAATTATATACCATTATTACCACATGGAAATGATGGACTTATATTTACAAAAAATTCATTTCCTTATGTGTCTGGTACAAATGAAAATATTGTTAAGTGGAAACCACCAGAAAAAAATACAATTGATTTTTTGATTTGTCCAAATAGAAAAATAAAAATTACTGATCCTAATTATGGATTATTAGAATTATATGTAATGGTTCATTAAAAATAAACAAAAAATTACTTTCTATTTGATTTTATTTATGCTAAAAAAGAATTAGTACAAGAAATTTAAACATAAATCTTGAATTAAATAGAAAAGCTTGAAAGTCTTGGATCACATGAAGGAGTGAAAGGAATAGTAGCAGAATGTAAATTAGAAAGATTACAAACTCCAGTTGTAAAAATATAAGCACTTTATGAATTAAATAAAAATGAATATTATGATGAATCAAGATTAGAAAACTTTTATTAATAACTTTTAAATAATACAGAATTAGCATTTAAATTAGATTCAATAATGTTATAAAACTAAATTAGTTTATTGAAAGACATAAGAGAAAGAATTCATTTAAAGTATAATTTTAAATTTTAATGGGTAATTGAAAAATATAGAACAGATAAGACAAGTGCAAATGCTTTGTTTGTAGCATAAAATTTACTTGAAATAATAAGTGAAGTATCTATTATCTATTATAAAGGACTTGAAATAAATAGAATTAATAGAAATCTTAGAAAAATTGAATACATTATAATGAGTTATAATATTGCATTAAATGTTATCATTATATTTTTTTCCTTAATATCTTCCTTTTCAAAATATATACTTCCATAATAATCAATATGAAAATTATACCAAAACCAATAAAATCAGATTTCACTATATAGTAATATAAGCTCTCTAAGTTAAAAATGTTCTCTAATTTAACCTAAGAAAAAATAATCAATTATTATTTCATAAACTATAATTTAGCTTAAATATTATTGAGTGTTTCTTATATAAGAGCTAAATCTGATTTTTAAGCTATTTCATGCATGTCATTAGCTTCAATTCCAATTAAATATTCAAAATAAATTTCATTATATAATCCAAGTTTATCTACAAAGCAAAATTAATACTTCCCCCCTTACATGGTTGTATAATCATATATAAGCTATATTTTTCCTTCGCTTTCATAAATTCTTTCGATTTGTTCATTTTCATATTAAAGAGTCATGTAAAAATTATATTAGTCTGATTATGATCTTATTTTTGCTATTAATAAAGTATTTGGTGCTAAGATATCAACAAAGCATAATTATTCTTCTGATTCTAAAAAGAAACTAAATTCAACTCCATGAACATTTACGAATGAATAAAGGAAATAAAAAATAAAATATTTCATTGTTTTAATGATTTAAACTATTTATAGTAATTTTCCCACTCTTTTCTAATTGTTTCTCTTAATTATTTTCTTTTTTGATTGATTTCATTAATATTTCTTTTAAGAATAAGCAATTCTGTCAATATTTCTTTATCAGAATGTTAAGATTCATCTTTTTAAGTTTTAACATTTAATTCAAAACCAAATGTTTTAGTTTCTTCATCATCTATATCATCTTCTTCCAATTATTCCAATTATTAATTAACTTTCTTTTTTAATTTTCTTTATTATCTTTTTTTTCTTTATTTTTCTTTTTTAGCTTCTATTTATTTTTCTTCTTATTCTATATAAGCAATAAATATTTATTATTATTTTTCATATTCTATTGATTAAATTCTATTTTCAATCCTTTATATAATTAATTATTTTAGCTATAATATTTTGGATTAATTTTACAATTCTTATGAAATTTATTTTTAAATGATATTTCTAAATAAATTGATCCCTACCATTTAAAACTTATTCTAAAATCAAAGAACTAATAGCTCTTAATATTTTCAATCTAATATTATCTTAAATTTAAATATCTAAAACTGTTGTACCAAATTTTAAAATTTTATCGAAAAGAATATACTATGCATACTGAAATAAGAAAATACATCATAATTAATTATTATTTAATTATCTCTTTATCGAATAAATTCATTGAAATTTATATTGTCCTCAGGATCTACTATATCATTTATGTGCATAATAATATCTTTTTCATTATTAATTGTCTCATTTACTTGCATTTATTTAAGAAAGTAATTTACTTAAGCCTTAAAAACATCAGCACGTATTATTATTTGGAATTCACCTGTTTTGAATAAAAATTTTGGGAAATCCATAAAACTCAATCTATTTTGTCCAAATAGATTAAGTGAATATTTCTATTTATTATTATTCAATATATCATTTCTTTTTTATCCAAATAAATTTGAAGTATGAATCTCACATTAGATTCTATATTACATTAAATCACTTTATAAAAATAGGAATTTTTCTTATCTACTCAAAAAAGATTTATATAATTCTTTATATTAAGTTATTAGATCGTTGGCACAATTTTAACAAATTAATATCTCTCTACAAGCAGATAAGAATTCATAATCTGAAAAATTTGAATTTTTTTCAAATTCATTCTCATTTATTAAATTGTAATCAACATTGTTCTATTCAATTGATTATGGCTTCTCTTAAGAATTCATAGTTCCTTTGGCAAATTGAACTTATTTCTTTTATTTCACTTTCATAAATATAATTATTAATAAATGAAAATATTATAATCAATTATAACCTTATTTATATTTACATAAAGTGATAAAAAATAAATTTATTCTGAAAAATTTATGAAATCCAAAATGATATATTTCTTATAATAATCATTATAATTTTTCTATATCTTCTCTATTAATTATCTATTCCTTAATTAATTAATCTATTTCAGATTATTCATACCATTTAACTCTATTTCCTTAATCCCATAATCCCACTTTTACTTCTTTTTTTTCTGACTAATAAATTCCAACTCCATTTTATTTTCCTTTTTCAATTTAATATTTTATTACCTTAAACCCAAGTGCCATTAAATATACTTCCATTAAGCCATCTGTAAATTCCTTTACCATGCTTTTAATCGTCCTTGTATTCCTATACTAAAAATTAATTGATTACACCATTATATGTATTTCCGTTTATCTAAATAAAATATCCTTTCCCATGCCTCATATTGTTATTCCATTACCCTGTATAAAATCTTTTATCAGGCCAAATGTAAGTACCAAAACCATTAATTTAACCAAATTAAAATTCCCCTTATAATTAAATCTAAAAATTTACCTTCGTATCTTGATCCATCTTCAAAATTAATAAACCCTTTGCCATGTCTTTTTCCTTAAAAATATTAACCTTCATATTAAGTTCCATTCACTCTACTCTCAAGTCCCATTCCATTTTCCTTATCATTTTCCCACTTAACACTCTAAAATAAAATTTACTTCTCCTTCATATTTTGTCCCATTAGAGAAAATATAAGTACCTTTTCCATAAGCAAAATCATTTTTCCATTCTCCATCATAACAATCTCCATCTGCATGAAGTATTTTCCCCTAAAATAATGCATTTTAATACTTTTCCCTCAAATTTATCATTTACCCATTCCCCTTCATAAATGGATTTATCAATTGTCTCATACTTACCAAAACCATCCTTCTTCCCGTTCTTCCATTCTCCATCATACACAGACCCCGAATCTAATTTAATTGGAGGTAGTTTTTATCTTTCATTTGATTAATTTATGCTCATATAGATTTTATTAAATATTAATAAAAAGATTAAATAAATTTCAACAATGAGCTTTTAAATAGTAAATTGATTATAACAAATAATTATATATATAACAATATTTATAATATATATTAAATGATTAAATTTCACTAAATATTGATCACTAAATTTTCCTCTTATAGAAGTATATTTATACCAAAAGAGAAATTAGAATGTAAATTCAGTAAAAGCTCTGGACCTGGAGGATAACATGTTAATAAAACTAATTCAAAAGCTGAAATAAGATTTAATCTATAAACTGCTGATTGGCTTAGTGAAGACTAGAAAAAAAAATTCCTCAGACTATATCCTAATTATGTCAATAAAGAAGGAGAAATTATATTAACAAGTTAATTTACTAGAGAATAATCAAAAAATTTAGAAGATGCAATTGATAAATTAAGAGAGATGATTTTTGAATGCAGTAAACCTGATAAAACTACATTTACAATACCTCCTCCTAGTTAATACAGAATTGAACAAAGAATTTAATTCAAAAGATAAAGATCAGATGTTAAAAAAACAAGAAATATTAAATGAAAATGTAGTTTTAATATGTGTAAATAAATTAGATTATTCTAAACACAAATACTATACTTTCACAAAACAGATGCCATTCTTTCTATTAGTTTTGTATCACAAAGTGCACTTTTTAAGTATAAATCATGTAATTTACTCATCAAAATGGCATTCTATCGTAAATCATCAAATCTAAAAGTTATAACCTATATTTTATATTTTATCAAATACAATTTCTAATAATTTATAAAATTCTCTTGATCCAATTCTTGTAATTAAATAACTATAAGCAATCTCATAAATTTCTTATGTAGTTATTTCTCTAACTTCCTTTAATCTCTATAAAACTGATTAAATATCATTAATACTTTTTCTTTCAATGTCAACATAAAACTCTTAATTATCATTTTCAGTAATATAATAGGATTTTACTATCTCTGCTAATTCTATAGATGTGAATTCATGTTTTAAAGATGAAATCTTATTCATCATCATCTTAAATAATTTTCTATTTATGATAAAATGGAATTATACTTTGATCCTCTATATGAAAGTAAAAAGCTTTTTATAATAAATTTTAATTCCTATAATTCATATTTATCAAAATTTTCCAAAATCTTACCTTCCAATTTCTAAATAAGTAGATCACTACCAAATTCAAAACCAAATCCTTGACTTATCAAACAGATTTATTCAAAATTCAAAGTATCAAATTATTTCAAAATATATTATTCTACTCCATCAAAATAATTTTTGAATTATTAACTTTTTACAATATCAGCAATATCTTATTTTTCACATAATTATCCCATAACAAGTATTCCTTAAATTATTGTATTTATTGGTAATTATTGATAGATTTACTAATCCTATGAATTTTTGAGCATAATTCCTACTAGATTTCTAATAAATTATTTAGTTCTAAAAATTAAATATAATTTTTACCCTCTTTAAACTCTCCAATAACACATCATAGTTGATATTACAGATTAGTATTATTAATTTAAATCTGATAATTTATTTATTTCACCCTAAATTTAATTCTCACATTAATCCCAAAATTAATCTGAACCCTCTTTTTAATTACTTAAATGAGATAATATTTCTAAAAGCTATTTGAGAGTTAATTTGGACATTCTATTCAAAATTGATATTTCTAATTAACCCCAAATTTCATGTTCTGAAGGGAGACATAATATATCAAGTAATTTAGTAATTTTTATTAAATTTTCAACATTGCTTATTATTCTTATTTGTTTAGTTAAAATAGCTTAAAATTCCTAAAATTCATATCTTATTAAATCATCTTCTGTAATTTTATCTGCAAACTAAATAAAGGCATTTACACATGACATTAAATTTTGTTCTGTTAATTACACTTTAAGTGTTCCTAAAAAATTAAACATTTCTTCTGGGTGTTTAAATTCATTAGAATATTAAATATTGATGTTATCAATAAAAACTTTTGCAAAATCTACTTTTCCATAATTAACTTCATGTTCTCTTGCTTATCTTATAGTTTATGTATGAACTTCTTTTTCATTTTTTATTTTCATTTTTTCATATTCATCTCTCTTTTTTCTTAGATCAGCTAAATATTCCTCCTTTCCTTTCCATTCTATTTATTAAGAATATAATATACCACCAGTTTAATTTTAATTCTTTTCATCATTTTTCCCTGTCTTTTATTAGTTTTATTCTTTTTTACTCCAGAAAAAATTGTAAGTAGGTGTAGGTCTTAGTATGGCCTTTCGGTATTACTTAACAATATTCATAAATATTATTAAAAATTAGAATAAATTTTAGAAATTAGTTAAAAAATATAGTTTTGATTGATAAATATTTTTTCAAAGGATTATATAAATCATAAAATTAGCAATTAAAGTGAAATATGATATATTCATTTCATCTAAAAACTGATTCATAAAATCTGAATATTAAACAAGTAAATTTAGTGAAATTTATTTTTTTAATCTTATAAAAATATGGTTTCTATAAAAATGATAATAATAAAAATGCATATATAAAAATTTGAATTGTTTAATAAATGAATTCTCAAAAGCTCTTTAGATATAAAAGTTGAACCTATTTTTGAAGTGT